TGTGTGTGTGTGTGTGTGTGTGTGTGTGTGTGTGTGTGTGTGTGTGTATGAGAGAGAGAGAGAGAGAGAGAGAGAGTGAGTGTGTGTGTCAGAAGACACATTAGCATTAGTGGTTTCCTCCAATCTATTACAGCTAATAGATGTGATAAAGCTAGGAGAATATAGAAAAAAGGTGGAAAAGAGGACAGGGTGGGGGGGGGGGGTCTCTGGACCGACCAAAGCAGGACAGTAGAGATGGAACAAAGGGAACAGGGACGGGAAGATAACATGGTAGGGGATGAGGACAGAAGGACGGCATCGCGGGCCTTACTTCAGACTCTCCTGGGAGGACGAGGACGAGCGGTCTGACTGGGGTAGAGACACGATGCTGTCAGAGCCCTTCAGGTGAGACTGCAGGGCCTTCTGATAGGTGGACTCCAGCGCCTGGAACAGGTGCTCTGCCTCGCGGCTGTAGTGACCGTGGAAACCCCAATAGCACCTACAGGTGAGGGCGAGGAAAAGCACAAGATATATGAATACACTAAAACATAAAGTCGACCATAGGAATAAGAATAAGTGGTGCAATCAGTGTTCATTTGGTTAACGGAGACTACGACTAAACAATAGGGGGGGGGAATACTACATAGATAGCATCACGATATGATATCATTGTGATTTTGCAATATTGCGATTGGCTGAGTATTGCGATATCAAACACTGCAATATTTGCAAATTATGCAGTTTCTGTTTTACCTAATAAGATAAAGTTTTCACTTGGTTCATCTCACAGGCCTAGAGTCCATGAAGTCATCTACAGTGGTGATTTGAATAAAAACACACAATTCTAATTATTTAGAAATAAAGAATCGATACTTGGCATTTGTGTATCGACACAATATTGCCACGCAAAATATCGTGATACTATGCTGTAATTATATTTCCGAAACAACCCCCCCAAGACTAAGACGAGACTAAGACGAGACGATGACGAGACGGCATCTTGTTCCCGGAGTTCCCCGCTCACCTGCAGGCCATCGGTCCACCGGATGACGCCAAATGTTTTTTGGTCATCCGGTGACTCTCCCCGAGAAATGAGCGGGGAGCTCTGGGTGCAGCCCAACATTGTTCAGACGCACACACCACCCACACTGCAACAATACAAAGCTAGTTGAAAAACTTTACCAAAGTCTCTCTTGATTTATGTTGACAAATGAACAGGAGACAAACTATTATGGACAGTTTTCTTTTCAATGCAGCACTTTTAGTTTTCGCCATATCAGGACTACATGGCAGCGCACAATGAGCACATCAGGAGGACTCACAATGACTCACTAAAGTTAAAGTTAACAACGACAGCATTGACTAAAACTAAACTAAAATAATTGTGATTTGAGATTAAAGTGCCCAGACTTTTAGTCAAAAGAAACTTGACTAAAAAACAAGATGAAGTTGAATAAATATGATAGAAACTAACAAGGACACTTGACACAGGACTAATACTAAATGAAAACATAGCTGACGACATGAAGACAATGACACTTACTTTCTTGCAATGGATCTGGCCTCAGAGTCGGCATCGTGTATGCCTTTCTTGATGGTCTCAGTCAGAACAGCCACATGTCTGGGGTAGTAAGGGAACATGGTGAGGAGGACACGAGCAGTTAACCCAAGAGACCCAGGACCCCGTTCAGATAAAACCAGGAAGTAAAGTCAGACAACTCCTGCAGCCTTAAACCACAAATGCTAAACCAATAAAAACCCTGGAGTTTTTCTCCGTTCTGTCTCTTCCACTCGTATTCCTCTGGTGGTCCACAGGCTATGTGACCACCCTCAGGGTTTTTCACGCGCTTTTTAAAGTCTCTGCCGCGGTTGTCATGTTTACAGTGATGGAAAGCCACCTCATCGCTGGGGGTCTTGATGATGACGGCTCTCTCAGGACTCATCAATTCAATGGGCCTCATCAGTGAGGCATCCAACCGACACTTAGCCAACTCAAATGTTAGCCGTCTCAAATGCCATCATGTGAGAGGAGGAGGAAGAAGCATTTACCTCCACCAAACACAAACACACACACACACACACATACGATACACCACGCCATCTATTTGACACACGCATCACGCACACTTGCAATGTGCTCGGGTGGTTAAGAAGGAAACAGTAGATACGTTTCTCCTCAGGAGATCCAGCTTACCTTTCCAGTGTGTTAGTGGGCCACTCTAGTAGCATGAGGTCTAAGAACTCAAAACAGCGTCTGGAAAGGGGACAAAACAACACCGTGACCGGATATTTAACAAAGGAGAGAAACACAATATGACATGTCACAAGGCGACACAAGCAATATAAAAGAAAAGCATAACATGCCTGTGATTGAGTTCAAAAGATTGAATTGTTTCTAGAAACGAATCAAGAATGTAAAATAGTGAATAGTTCATATCTATTCATATTATACACTATATAGTATGATGACATATTAGGGCCATTGTAGGTAAAGAATAAATCAATTGCAGAGTGGGGGAAGAGGGGTAATACATTTTTTAAATAACTCATAATTTACAAGAAAAAGATAAAAGTAAAAGTGTTGGGAGTTGTTAGGAAGCACATTGGTTCCTTGACCCCACTCTTTTCCAAGTTTTTTAATGTAAGTTTGTGAGTATTTTCTCATATATTTACAACTTCAATCTTGGAAATTCAGATTTTTTTTATTCCAGAATATTACCTAGAATATTATATAGAACCTACCGGGCTCTATATATATTCATATTTGTTTTACCTAAAATGGCCCTAATACACGGTTGTAGTAAGATGAAATTCAACTCAATCTTAAAAATCATCGAAGACAAAGTAGAACATTACATTACAGTCATTTAGCAGACGCTTTTATCCAAAGCGACTTACAATTCAGAGTCTATCACATTTCTACACCGTAGGCACAGCTACGGGAGCAATTTTTTGGGGTTAAGTGTCTTGCTCAAGGACACATCGACATGCGACTAGCGGAGCCGGAGTTCGAACTGCCGACCCTCTGATTGAAAGACGGACCTGCTATCCACTTAGCCACAATCACTAAGTGGATAGCAGAAGGGGATGTCGTATGCTGTACGTTTGTGATATTGGGGCTGTAGGAGAAGGAGAAGATATGAAGTATCGAGGTCCTCTTACCGTCTGACTGCTACTGATTTGCAGGCACAGTTGCTGGTGATGATGGGGATAAGACGTGGGTAATGCGTGCGCTGGAAGAGAAAATACAAATTTGAAGTTTCACTCGTGGTTTATATGACAGCGCTGTAAATGTATCGCCGTGGAGGAATCAAGATATTTGCAGGGGGCCTGAGGAACCACATGGACTCTCCTTACCCTGAGGATGAGGCGGATGGTGGCCACTCCGGACGTGGCCATGACTTTGGCACTGTTGGGCACAAGGTTCAGCAGGGTGGGCATGATGCTCTCCGCTCCGTGGTCAAACTTGTTTCCCAGTAATGATGACAAATGTCTGACAGAGGGAGAGGGAAGGACGTGGTGTTAAAGAACAAGTGTATACCCCTTCTGATCCATTCATGGCGATGCGTTGTTGTTGTTCTCACAAACAAGCAGCGGTGTTAAAGGTGCAGCTCCTCCAACGAGTATGCTGTAAAGTCTAAACGAGTATTTAACTCTCTGCATTTTAACTAAGGGGTAAGACGTTAGGAGTGAGACGAATAAGTAAAAAGCGTATGTAAGATTATAAAGGCAGTTGTATCTTTTTGGAAAGAACACAAAAGAGAGACCGACAGTCATGGTTGTAATGGTGTATAAACTGAAGAAAAGTTCAGTATGTGCTCTGCCTCAGCTGGGGAAAGTTAGTACCGGATTGAAAGGCGAACCGGTGACATTACAAGCGATGTAGGATACACGTAGCTGCCATCTATTCATCAACCTGCTGCTCTTTCCGTGCGTCTCTGCTCTGTTCCACCTCATCGGGGTTGTATTAATATTTGGATGATGGATGTTTTTGGGTGGAGAGCACGCTGCTCGTCTCATACCCGAGCAGGGCTCATGTTCATTAGCTTAAGTATGTGGAAAGAAAACATTTTAGCATTTTCCTGGAGTAGCCCAATCAGTTACAAAGTTAATATCACTACTGAATCAAAGCTATTAGGAGTGCGCTGGCAAGGCAACTGATGCTGATCCCTTCATGTCAGCTGAATGACTGCAGCTGTTTGCTGTGCTCTCTTTAAAGCCACCAAACAAATACAATGTACAATGTTACAATGTAACAAATACAATCATTTTACCTGGCAGAACACAGGAGTTGCTGTTAGTTTCTGTTATTGTGAGGAGAGAAACCATGGAAAATATTGAGTATCACAATATTATGTTTTGTGATACTGTATCAATTCTAAGAAACACTGTATCGATGTATAATTAATAGTTTACATAATATTAGTTTAATTGTTTGCATTTCCTCAGTGTGCCCTCTCAAAGTGAAGCCATGATGTTTCAGGGACTGGGATCTTTGCATATGGTGTGTTCTTTATACTATGACAGTTTTCCTAAAATTCAATTTAAAAAGTAAAAATATATCGCCTTGCTTAGAGTATCGCAATATATCGAATCACAAACCCTGTTCTTGATACAATACGTATTACCAGATTCTTCCATATACACACCCTGAGTTATAGTGTGACTTCAGATTCACCAAACACAAACAAACTAACCGATGGAGGCAGCAGTAGACCAGCAGCTCCTGTCTTCTGCAAATTAAACTCATGATTTTGTCAAAGGAGTCTGGTGGCTTTGAATAGAGCACAGATAACGGCTTCACTTCCCTGAAAGAAAGAGCTGTCTGACGGCAAAGTAAAGCAGTGAAAATATTCTCAATACAGCGTGCACTTAAAATATTATTGATTTTTAAAGGTGTTTAAAATAGTTTAGCTGCTGCCCCTGTCCACAGTGGTACATTGCTCTGCTCCCGTCGGTTTCTCCTAACTCTATCTACTGTAGCTACTACACTGACTATGGAGAAGTAGCTCATACAACCTCACTTCAAAACACCCAAACTCTGTGCACATGGGGAAACATGCTCTGTTATGATAGTGCTGGTTGTCATTTCTTACTTAGTTCTGCCAGAGTTCAAACTGAGGTTACCAGATTAAAGCTGCTGTAAAGTGGTACTTAACTCTGGTGTGCCACAAACATTTAGAAACCTGGGCGGGACAGTGCATCCTCCTCGACTTGGGATCTTACCCCAGAGTGATGCAGGCCTCGCGGACCACCTGTGAGCGCAGGTCTTTAGCTGACAGCTTGAGGGGAGCCTCCAGGAGACGCAGCTGCTGAGGGAAACCCTCGTACTCAGTCGCCCCGGCCAGCAGGAGAGAACGCACCTTCTTCAGCTGGAGAGGAACAAGAGCAAACAGAAGAGACAACGTACATCAGTATGTCATCAGTGGATTCATGCACTTCCCCCCTGTTGTGTGTGTGTGTGTCTTACCGCGACCACTCGGTGCTCCCAGTCGTGTTTGTCATCAGACAGCACTTCTCTGATCTTGGTCAGCTGGTCCTCTAGCTCTCTGTTGGAGTAGATCTGGACACAGAGAGATGATATCATTAGCTTTACTGATACTGATATTTTACTATAAGCGTGAAGTCTGTTGATCACTTTAACTCGATGCCACCTGTGTGTGAGTACGTTTGGAAGTGGACGTTTTGTGAAATGCAAATAGCAGCCTAAATGTAAGCTCAACTGTTGCTGTGCAACTCTAGCTGTCACAGCTTGGTTTGAAGTCCTGTTGTTGAAAATCTAAATATGAGATATTAAGCGGAGTAGTTGTATTAGAGGACCCAAAAAATAAATAAAAAATAAAGAAATCCTATGGTTCGATGTGGAGTGAGATGTACCACTTTAAAAGAAATAGGAAGCAACTACTGAATTGCTGAACTTGTCTTGGCAAAAAATATGACATTATGCCACGTAAGAATAAATGTGCTTGTGGTTTGTGAGTGAGTGGTGTTTAAATCCATCACAAAACAATACGGAGCTCTGCATACCTGGACTGAGGGCACGTCTTCAAAGGTTTTAATAAAATCCTCTTCATCAACAGCCCCGGCAGCTGCTTCTTTACCTTTGAACAAAAACAAAAGGTATTGTACCGGAGTTTCAACAACACAATCATTTATAGAATGATGTAAGCAGCAGGGACGTGTTCACCAATACCTCTTATTATTAGACATTAGTGAAAGTCACAGTTGTAGTATTGTTACGATCACTATTATTAATGTTGAAAGGGCTGCACAGTAAATGTATTATATCTTTATTATTGGACTGAACGCTCCCTCACCTGTGACCTTGGTCGCGGTGGCTGAGCTGGGTCTTCTAACAGCGCTCACTACAGGCCTCCTGCCACTAGGGGGAGCTTTGGATGATGAGGAGGAGGACCGGCCTCCATCCACAGAGTCTTCATCCTCAAAGTTCTTATCTGCAACGACAGGGGCAGGAAAAGAGAAAATGTATGATATAACTATTTAAGTTGTGAAAAATGCACCTCGGGATAACTGGTGGCTCGACGACTGATCGATAAATCACTATTCCTTCATCATCATCATCACTCTTCTTCCTGGTTAATGTCCATAGTGAAATGCATCATCATTCTCTCATCAGTAAAGCCAGAGTCATCTCTGCACTGCATGACCTCTGTCAGGTTATGTGTTTGTATTCCGCCTGTATCCATCCATCTGACTGTAATCTGGTTTGGCAGCTATGCCTGCATACACAGTCCCCCCCTCCCCCCCCCGGTCACCTGCCCAACGTGACCATTCACAGGAAGGATTAGCCCCGGGGCAGATGTGATGGTGGGTGGTTGCAGCTCATTGATTTAAAAACAATTCCTCAATCTGTTTATCAGAAAGCATGTGTTCCTATGGATGAGCCCACTATAATGAATGAAGCCTTCCCCTTTAGCGGCACATTGACATTGCTTTCATCCGTCACAGGAACCGATCACACAACAGTGATCAGGCTCATACACAGGAACCAGCTCCTTAAATGTCCCTGCTCCGAAGCGCACCGTGACCATGACACAGCGTTCATCACAGACGCCACATTAACAATGTGGAAGACAAAAGACAAAGAGGCAACAGGTCGAGAGAGGAAAGGGTAGGGACGGCAAAGAGACGTATACATCCAGAGAATTCAGAGCAACAACGGAGAGCAGACCAGAGAGAGAGGAGGGGGAGAAAAGGGAGATTAAAAGGCATCATTCTTACGAGCGCAGATTTTCTGGCACATCAGCTTCCGCAGCATTTCTCTGCTGCACCAGGCATCTGTCGACAGGATGTGTGTGTGTGTGTGCTCTGCGTGTGCCTCTGTAGCATGCTGCACGCTGACAAAGTGCCAGACTAACCACCCCTTAAGCCCTCTTCTCTGGGTTCAGTTATCACTGTGTGTGTGTGTGTGTGTGTGTTGATGTACGATGATGTTGGACTGTAGGGACATGTCATGGTGAAAAGAGGGAGGGGTGTATGGTTGTGAGATCACTTTTTTTCTTGTGCTCACTCTCATACAGCCCCATCAATCAATAGAGCATCTCAGAGTGAGGTCATTGCTGCAGACGGGACAAGGGGATGTAGCATCAATAAGCTTTAACACATCACACCTATCCAATGCAATCGTATTCATAAAGCACATTTAAAAAAGAACAACAACTCTCACAGTGAGTTAAAAGCCAGAGAATAAAGAGAGGATTTAAAGACAGGCAGTATAGAGGTCAGCCCAGCATGCAGAGACTCATTCACAGATGTCTTTCACCAGGTTGTCCACTTTATGTAGACTGCATGGAAAGACACAGTGAGAACGTACGGGGCGAAGTATCGAAGTAGCTTTTTGTAGTTTGTAGTCTCCTTCACATCTCATGACAGAGGACATCACCCGCAGCCCGGGTGTTTAGTCACAGCAGACGTTTTGACTCGTCCCAGTAGGAATTACACAGGTGTTAGTAACAACATTATGATGGTTGTGTTCTATAGGGAGCTGCAGGGAAGACTCCTAAAACCCACAAATGAGCTAGAGTATACATGCGCTCGTGGTTGTGTATTTCCTTTATTGCCTAATATCAGCTTTTTACTTCTAGTGTCTTGCTGAACAAAATGTGGAAGTATCATAATATATATATATATTGGTGCTGGGCAAGTTAACGCATTAATTTCACGTTAACGCATTCATTAATTAACGACGACAATTATTTTATCGCGCGTTAACGCATTTGTTTAATTTATTATAATTTTTTTTTATTTTAATCGTTGCCCAGCACTAATATATATATATATTAGTGCTGGGTAACGATTAAAATATTTAATTGCGATTAATCGCATTATTATGGCAAAGTTCAATAATGAATTCAAAAGTAGTGTATTGCGCACTTTTATTTTAAAAGTACTATATGAACAAAAAGGTCAATAACATTTGGTTTGTGTGTATACTGAGTAAACACACAACACATGCGATGAGCAACTGAACCCCCCCCCCCCCCCACACACACAGAGTACATTGCCTTGCCCCTGTGCTGGTACTGCTGTCTGTTTCTCTCAGATCTACTCTCCATCTACTGCAGTAACAGACTGACTCTGGACACAAACTCACTTCAAAACACACAAACTATCCTTCAAGATCAAATTAAATCATTTTAATAATAATCAGAAATATAATCTCAAATAACGATTCAGTATTTTGGAAAGAAGTTTCCAGCACAAGGATATGTAAGAGTTATTTAACCACTCAAAACAACACACAGACATTAAGCAGACGGTCAGGTGGATTTCAGGCATGGAGGTGCGCTACCTTCTCTGTGCACTAGGTGTCAGGATGCACTGCGGACACACTGAAGTACTGAAGGTTGCTGAAGCTGCGTTGGCATCAGCGGAGTCACCAGTAAAGCACACGTTTATATAATAGGGAGGGTTTTCTCTCTTTAGAGGAAGAAGAAAAGCCCAGAGGCATGAGGGATTCAGAGAAGGTTCAGACGCTTGATAACGTTCTTTACTGCCTGACGGCATGGGTGAGATAGAAGAGGGGGGGGTCTCTCTTCCGCTGACCCTTTTGACCCCCCGGGCCTGTAGCCTGGGGGGTTACATAAGAGACAGCTGACTGGTGATCAGGGTTATGTCATAACAAAGAATGTCTTGTTTTACTGACTAACCAGAGAGGCCGCTGGCAGGGCTGAAATGTAAATCAAACATTTACAAAAGCGTTGCCTTGTTTTGTCACTCGTTACTACACCAGTGTTCAATCCAGACAGAGGTCTGTGAGAACAGGGCTCTTGTGGGGCAGAGGACTGTGTACTGTGCTGCTGATGGGCGGGCTTGTGTTGTTAGTATGGTACTTGCTCTTCACTCACAACATCTTACCGATCCGTCAGCTGATGACTCATTAAACCTCTATTCTTTGCTTCCAAGCACTTTTTTGCTCTGTCACGTTTCCCTCTATGTGGTCTTGATTCTCACTGCAATATAAAGTCCTGCCCCTCTATGGAAACAGCACAGTCATAACTAGAAGTGAGAGAGAAATAAAAAATGTCTTTAGTGCAGTACAACACAGTTACCATGCCATAAATCATAAAAAAGGAAATACGCAAGTTGAATTTCTTGGATCATTTATTTTACAAAAATTAGAAAACAATAGAATCTATATATCCAAACAAGTGTTACCAATATTGGAAAAAAAGAAGGTTCTACGTGCTTTAAATATTTTATGAGATTATTGTAAATGAGACATGTAGAATAAAAGGTTTTTGATGATGGAAGCGTTCCTCGCACATGGTGTGTTCAAGAGAAAAGGACAAAAGAGTGTTTTTACAGCTTCTTGCATTGGTTAACAGTGTAGTTTTGGCGATTGTTTAAAGAAAAGATGCTTTTCAATCCCGCTGGTGCGTTTTGGGGTTCAGAGGGTTCACTTGTAGTCCTGAACACCCAACAAGGACATCTGAAGGCCGTCCGTCTGCGTCACAAAACGCTGATTCATCCTCTGAAGTTGAAGTCAGACGAGTTCTGACAAGCACTGCTCTGAAGCCTAAAAGGCCCCGCTCACTAAAATGCAAACTATCTGTCACAAGGAAATGCTGAGTCTCAGCAGAGCACCCGTACTAGTGAGCTTTGCAGATTAGGAGGAGAGATCATCACAAAAAGGTGCAGAAGGAATCAACACTGTGTCGAAAGTGTCCACAGATATGAATCTATTCATTTAAAAAAAAAAAAACTGCACGTAAGCAACCTCAAAAGAATCGCACATAGCACTGCCAACTGTGAATATGGAGTCCTAAATTCAGAAGCAACACAGATGAAACTACGGTTACAAGTGATGCTTTCTTTTATTATTGTTGATTAATGCAAAATAAAAATTCTAAATGATTTAATTTGTCTTTTAGTCTAAAACATGTCCAAACATAGGGAAATATAATAATAATATAGCCTCAGCGAATGGCTTCAAAAAGCTCGTTTTCCAAAGCCCAGAGACATTGGATTAACGATGACTAATGCAACGTTTCACATCTACTGTGAGACAGAAACATCACTGTAGCCCGGCCCGTCCAGAGGACAAGGAGCTGGTTGTCCCACTCACACTTACACATCAGCTGAAGAAACAAGGAGCATTGGCTGCTTCATTTCCCAGAGGTCATGTCCGGACACCAGGCTCTTCTGCAGACCAGCTGGTTCCAGGTGCTTTATACCAGACTGACTTCAAGACAAACTATGACTGTCAGAATCTTTCAGAAGAGAAAATAGCTGCTGTCACTGCAAACATTCTCAGCTCGCCCTAAAAGCTTTAATATTAGTGCTCTACCTCCATAACATCAAATATGTCCCCTGCAAAACAGGGCAGCATCAAACAAATCCCAGGGTGCTTATTCTCCACCAGACTGCCATCAATGGGGCCGGTTGGCATCATGAGTCTCTCATTCATCTCCTCCTACGCTGCATCGCTTCAGTGATGGCAATCAGATAGAAGCAGCCACACGTAGGGACAGAAGAGAGAAAGGTAGAAACAGGAAAGCAGACATGGAGACGGGCTGCCAGGAGTTTGATGGTATGGTTAAATCTCATCCTTCCACTAAAATATACACACTACAACGTCCCAGAAATGTTTGGAGTATCAAAGCCAAGCAAGTTCATTTCCTTGTTTTTATACTTGGGTCAAATGAAATGTAGTTTTTTAATGGCATTGTCACCTGCCACTAAAAACAGTGTCAATCTTGGGCTAGATAAACCTGGCCGTGCCCCCTCTACAGCGGCCTCACAGACCCCCCTCTGATCCTCAGAGCCGCTGGCCCACTTCACTGGGCACAAGGAGGACAATCCCATCATTCAGAGCGCTGCTCACAGTCTATACTCTCGTGTGCTGACTGTTCAAATCTAAGCCGGCTGCATCTCCGGATCCTCTCCAAGAATCTCAGTGGTAACGAGTTATACTGCTGGTGATTAATAATGAATGCTTTTATTAGCGTGTAGTTTTGTTATTGTCATGAAAAGACCAAAACAAACAATGAATGGATTACTCTATGCTATCAAGCTGTTGGTTTTCCGTCTTCTTGTGACGTTTGCTGAAATAGTAAAAACTAGAATAGCGAATCCTTAATCCTTTAATATCAATTTAGCTCACAGTATTTAGGGTTAAAGTGTAGTTTCAGCATCACGTTCTTCAGTTGTATGCAACTTTGAGCAGTAAATCACCACAAGATGTGTCCAGATGAACAACTCTGAGGAAACCACTGCTACGAAAAAATGTCTTCTATAAATACCTTACATAGAAAAGATCTGTCTTCAGAGCCTCCACCACACTGTGCAGCAGCCAAAGGCAGCAGATACACACACACACACACACACACACACACACACACACACACACACACTATTCATACACGCGTAAGAAAACGCATTAAGCTGTGTGTGTGTGTGTGTGTGTGTGTGTGTGTGTGTGTGTGTGTGAGAGATAATCAAAGAGCTTCCTCAGAATAAGCATTCAGCCCCCACTGGTGTTAACCATTTCTTCATGGTGCAGGATATAATGGCTGCACACACACACACACACACACACACACACTTGCAGGCATACACAGAGCTCAAGCACCCACGCAGACACTGTGGCACTTGTGTCATCCCGAGTAGTGGGCCGAGCACGCTTGTGAACTGGGTTTTGTCTTATAGTGTTCCCCTTCACAGCTCAGAGAAGCATGTTCCCTCATGTGACATCATGACATGAAGAAGTATCAGATCATCTGTGTCAGCCTGCATTCAGTTGAGTGAGTGGAGGCTGTGCCTCTTCAGCTAGTGCCAGAAAGAAGAAGTGATCTGCTCTCATCGCAGCAGAACAGACTGGCAGTGTCCTCCATGTTGATGGAACAGAAAGCGCCCACTAGGACAGCTCATGCACACACACACACACTCACACACACACACACACACACCAATACACACAAATCCTGGGTGGATTCAGCCAATTACAAAGGCGTTCTGTGATTGTGTTGAAGGAAGTGAGAACCCGTCGGCTGATGTGCTGGGATAGCGACGACCCTCCCTTATTCACAGTTCCCTGTTGTCAGACTGCTGGCCGACAGTCCTCTCTGTGGTTCTATAGAAATACTGCCTTCACTCTGCATTATGCATTGATCTGCTTTAAATAGTCCCATAGAAGCAGACGGACCCATAGACACTCTGACTCTCACAGTCCCACTTATAAACACAGTCACAGTCATCAGATAGCTGTTATTGAGGAGAAACAGCTAAATGTGGGACACCTTTCAGAGCGCGTTAGCTCTGCTGTTGGTGGTAAGGCTTTTAGCAGCTACAGTCACGCATTCCGGTATCATGACAAATGCTATTTCTAGTGGAACGACTGAAACAATAAGTGGACAAATTAAACTGGCAACAATGTTGATAATCAATTAATCACTTCAATCGAAAAATCCACCGGTTCCTGCTTGTAAAATGGTCAAATATTCTTGTTTTCTATATGTTCTCTTTGGGTTTTGGACGGTTGGTGATGAAAACAAGACGGACGTTTGACAACATCACCGTGGGCTTTGGGAACTTGTGATATGACCTGTTCATTTTACAGAACAAACAATGAAGTGATTGATTGAGACAATAATCCGTAGCTTAAGTGATAGTGAACACACTCGTTAGCTGCACCACACACACCCGACATGCTGACCAACAGACTTCAGCACGGTTACGACTTCTCAGACGTACATTTGTTTGTCTATTTAGGATTCTACACTCACATAGAATGTGTGTAATTCTCTAAAAGCCATTAAGATTATAAAACGTCAGAATGCATGTTATCCCAGAATGGCATTTAATCAGCTCACTGTTTGACCCTCTTTTCTACTACTGACACCAGCAGGAATAAGTAACCTAATAAATGCTCTCATCAGTGATCAGCATCAGCCAATCAACCTAATGAAGGACTTGAGATCTACAGTTTGAGATCTGTGCACTTTTAGGGGGTTTAGCTGTACAGCATTATCCTAAGAGGCTTATAATGAGAGCAATGCACTGGGAGAGTCATCTTAAAATGCTAAAACTAATTCAGAAACAAAGAAGGCTGCAACGTTCAGACTCTAATAACGGAATAAAACACATTTAGAAGAACCTCACAACTGCAACACTGGAAGTAATGAAGAATAGTCTGACCTCATGAAACCTCCACACAAGTTCAAAAACATGTAAAGAAATATGTAGTGCAATTCAAGCACAAAAATAAAACTGTCCGACCGCAGTCTGGTGGCTTTGAGCAGAGCACGTGAATCGGATGTTTTGTATGTTAATAATTATCTCAATCCCTGTCGATTTACTTTATTATATATTCATTTCTACACGCGTCACATAGCATCACACCAGAAAAGGACCAAACATCACGTTTGTTGGGCAGTAGAAGGCGAAAGTATTTCAATGTAACTGAACTACAAGTAATCAGAAATGAATGAGACGATGAATGGATTGCATAACAAATGTACAGACAGTAGCTCTCATCGCTGGACTGAGATGAAACAAGTGTTGGGTCACTCAAGCGCTGAGAGGAGACCGGAGGCCAGAGAGGAGTGAGAGGCACGACACGTAACATTACAGTCACCATTCACAGAGTCCACCCAGGAGAGAAACTCTGTGTGTCTGGAGAGGAGAGCAGGAGGTGTTACCTTCTCCACGCACACCAGCTTTGTTACGTAACAAGACCGGTTAAAATACAGCTGAAAACAACAACAACAACCGATTACATAAGAGAGAGAAAACTCTCATGTTCTCCTCATCGAACAGTCCCCCCTCCCCCCCTCCACATGCAGCCCCTGGGGAGAGGGGTGATCTCTGTATCATACGTGTGTGAGATCTGACCTCAGCAAAGAGAGAACTCTACTTCTATTTGCAGTCTTACCTTCTCCAGCTGTCATGGTGCAAAGCTGCCCTCAGCTCTGAAGCTCCGCTGCGCGCGCTCTCTCTCTCTCTCTCTCTCTCTCTCTCTCTCTCTCCCACTCTACATCTCAGTGGTGCAACAGAAATGGCTGCTTTGTTTTGTTATCTGTCTCTCCCTTCCTCTCCTCCACCCCCCCTCCCCCTTGCCTGTGTGACCCCCCTTTGCCTCCATCTCTCTTCTAACATAATCTGTGAACATCTCACAAGACAAGACAGAATTTGGGAATTCTGTGTCACCTTTCATCTCTAACTCAGCCTTGACTCCTCTTTATTCTGAAGCCGTTTCACATGCGCAGCTCATTCTCCGTCCACATGAACGTCGGACATTCTTCTCGGCTCTGAGGCAAATGGACTTTAATTAAAATGAGTCGTCATCTTCAGACACAAAGTGACTTTCAGTGCAGCCGTGAAGGAGAGAAGTGGAGCCTGTGAGGAGCAGCTGATGGTGATGAATATGAGGCTATGATATGATATGACTATCTAATAACTGCTAAAATGAGTCACGTTGCCGTGTTCCTCTTTACTTTCCAAACAAACTGACAGTTGACTGGTAGAGACTCATTAGGAATCAGATTAAACATCGTCATCAGTTTTTCTTTAAACGCTGCCACAGAAGACAGTTGAACAAGATTCTAATAGTCTATCTTAAATTAAAGCAGACTATATTGAATATTGAATGACTGTGGTGGGACTGCCTTTAAAGGGGGTCTTGCCACAGACTCAAAAAAGGAAAGGTGAAAATCAATCCAGCAGAGACTGAGAAACTCTGGCTTTAAGCCTATGGTAAGGGTCAGGCTCTAAAAAATCCTACAATTCCCATAATGCAGTGCAATAGCATCTTTCATTCGACCCTCCATGCCTGGTTAACGCCCACATCTTTAAAACTCCACAACCCCAGCGTGTGATGTACAGAGGCCAAGCCCAGGAGAAAATAACACACGACATCACTATGACATCATCAGGGTTACTTGCTCGAGCATCATGCGACGTGACAAGTAAAGCTGGTGACTGAGTGTCCCTTTAATGCTGTTATGAACAGAGGGCGTCTATTGCGCGGTACACTGTCAGATATATAGATGTTACTAAAATAACGCGAGAGATAATCAGAGCAGGAAACCGCAGCGTGACACTATGAGCCACTCACAAAAAACTTTAGATAGATAAGATACTTTATTCATCCCGTTAGGGGAAATTTGTTAAAGTCAGTTTAAGTTTAAAATATTTGCTATTATAATCTGGTATTGATTAAGCAGCTAATCATGATGTTACACTACGGGGTCATGAAGCTCTCCTGTGTCACTACATGTATCTGTGTGTGTGTGTGTGTGTGCGTGTGTGTGTGTGTGTGTGTGAGAGAGTTCATCAGGTGGTCGTGGCAGCTGAACTCCACACGTGAAATGTGGAGAAGCTGGAAGGTGACGCTGCAGACTGTTGTTGAAACGCTGAGCCCTGTCTGACTCTATTCTCCTTGGCTCAGCTATTCTGAAATGGCACAGAGTCAGCAGTGAGGATTCCACCTGCTCAGAGGTCTCATCTGTCCGAACACACAAATCACTCTGAAATACACCTGCCTGTTGACTTCAATGCGTCTCTTTGTCCCTTTTCTGCTCTTTGGCTCCACAGAGGGACAAACTGAAAGCTCCAGTGGATGCCCACCTCCTGTGGAGAAACCTCATCCCCTCTAGCCCCAGGCTGACCGTCTGGGCCACAACCCCCCCTCCCCCCTTCTTCCTCCACACACAAAGCAATACACACACACATGTAACACAGAAAACACACAGAACGCGTGTTCTGTGTTTTGTCGCGCTGTGACAGAAAGACGGGTGGATACAGGGGACAAACAGCCAGCTACTTAACGCATCATAAAAACATATATAACAAACAAACAACCCACCGAGCTGCTTCAGATCTACAAACACGTTCTACTGAGTCAGCAATAGCCCTGCTGGTCACAGTGCGTCTGTCCATCCAGCAGTGAATGACTTGAGGTAAACAGTAGTGCTTGATTAGACTGTGGGTACGCTGTGTTAATGGATGCATATCAAAAGGTTACCACATAAAACATTAAAGGGCACAAAGACACGAGAGGAACACTCACCGGAACCAGGGGATGAGATCATGTTCCCGGATCTTTGGACTTCATCAAATTTGCTGAAGATTACATTCAACCTGTATGAGAAAAAGAAAATGTGTCAGAAGACTGACGCCGAGGGACTGGTTTGCTGCTCCATCCAACACTTGGGAGGTGAGAAGCTCTCCAAAATAGATGGTGTCCAAAACAGCCACATGACACACTGGCACCAAGGCCAGAGAAAGAGAGGGACATGCTGTCAAGTGTACGAAAAAATAAAGGACGAAGAGGACACAACAGTAACAGAAACACCGTCTCTGTTCGCTGGTGTGTGATGTAAAAAAAGAAATACAGCTCGTCCAAATGGAAGCTATGACATTCTGGCACCCTGTCCAAAGGGCTTGTTGAAGGCCGGTTACAAGACGAACGACTAGAAATCAGCTGGGTGTTTAGTCATGAGCTTATATCAAACACATCACACACAGGGGAAGAAACGAGGCACAGAGTGACTCTCACAGTGTGAGGGGGGACATGAGAACCCTGGTGCTAGTGAGAATACAAACAATCACAGTCCAAGGCTGTCTGAAACAGAAAAGCTTTCACCTCAATAACTAGTTCTGATCTTCTCTTCTCAGGTAGGAGTTACTGCTGAATTGTTGTTTTACACCGTTTTGTTTAAACTAGGTGCACCTGATAAATGTGCATGTCGTAAATCAGTCCTCTAAAGCTGCATTGCTTATTTGGGCCACTAGAGGGAGAACCACAGTGTTGTGGCCTGCTACCTGACCTACAATCACTGTGTGTATGAGGAAGCGTAAGGGAGTGAGTGAAGGATGCAAAGGCAGAAAAGAACACGCAACAGAGGAGGAGGGAGGAAGGGAAGAAGGGAGGAGGGGATGAAGGGAGGAGGGGATGAAGGGAGGAAGGAAGGAGGAAGGATGAAGGGAGGAGGGGCCGTGGACAGGTTGGCAGCTTCCCGTCTTCGTACCGTGACTGTGGCAGGCCCTTTTTGCAGAGGTCCATCCTCACCCTCTCCCCCACGTGTCTGTAGATCTCCACCAAGCAGCTCATAGCCCCGTCACGCACCTGATGACCACAGCAACACAGGACATCATGCGTTGGTACGTCTTCACATCGTCTCTGTTACTCATTTGTTAATCAAACTCATTTCTATATTATTTTCACCAGTAATAATGAATACCTTTGTTTGATTAAATATGTAGTTCTCGCAAATGTCAAAAATAATTGCAAACACCTCTCAAAAGTAATCAGAAACCCAGAGAATATATAAGAATAGGTTATTTCACTGAATCAGTAAAACACTGCCAGATGTCAGGTTTACAACAATATGAAAGCAAAAAAATCATAAAATGTGTCATTGTGTAATATTGTTTCCCTAAAGTGTTGTCTTTCTGTCCTACTACGAAGTCCTTAAACCTAAGACTGAAATACATTTCCTGTATGTAACAGTATCAGTAGTAAAGCATGAGTGGGCATACCTGACTTGTGGGGTCCCCCAGGAGGTTACAGATGTGGGGGACGATCTTACTGAGGGTCAGGCCTTGAGCTCCGTGTCTGGAAGACAAGAATTGAAATAAATCAGCCCAATGAACAGCTGATAGCAGATATACAAGAGGCCCTACTGTTTGGACAGCGAACATCATTTAGAAAGGGTGGAATTATAAGGAGTATGCAAATGAGGATGTCCCGCTATCTTCACCAGTATGACCAGTATAGGGGGCAGCTGACTCACGTGCTCAGCGTGGCGATGAGACAAAGGCACACTCCTTCTCTGGTCCTGTTGTTCTTATGCTTGAAGCCCCCCAGCATCCTGTCCCACACATACTGCAACAACACACACACAAGATACGGGCTTATTGTTGCTGTACTGGATCACTGACACACATTATAGGACAGGAAATGGACTGCAGCCACATGTAGACCCAGCATGCCATACACAGGGTCTGAGACTAGGTTTCTACCTCAGGCCACTGCACATATAGAACGCTTCACAACTGTAAGCACAGAGTCAGTGGTACCGGGCAGTAGAAATATGGAATTTATAATATAATCTTAATTGAACCTTTTAATTTACAACTTGCTTTAAAAAAAATAATGTTTCTGAATAGACCTTTTTAGACTTGACAACACAACATTCTGGGCCTTTTCGTATTTCCTGTTATATTTTTTAAAGCAATAGCTAAACCAAACCAAAACCACATACATACATCCTGTATGACTTGTACCATGACGGGTACCAATCACTGCACAAAAGGTGCTATAAAAGTACATCAGTCCATTTGCCGATATTATTGATGGCGATAGTTAAACCTGACTGCTTCGTTCCCGTGGATAACGTACGAGTTAGCTAACAGGGGGGGTTGTGTTGGATGACAATAGCAACGGTTTGAGCATCATGTGAGTTTCATCACAGTGAACACGCTACAAGGCTACCAGGGACTCAGACTGTGCACTCGTGGTTATCCAGCAAGACGAAGAAAAGAAGAAGAATATTGGCAGCAAATACAAATTAGTCACCATTGGAATGAATTCAGGCTGCATGCTCAAACTCATGGAAAAAATGAGCTCTCTCAGAAAAGCGTGTGTGTGTGTGTGTGTGTGTGTGTGTGTGTGTGTGCGCTGGTACCTGCGGGCTGGCAGCTTGTTCCATGATCTTCAGCAGAACTGTTTGGTCTTGGTCTCGCACCTGGTCTTTAGAGTCTCCCAATCGGTCAATAAGGCTGGGCAGAACTGAGGGAGGGAGCACAGCAGAAATGTCATCACTTCATCATTATATTCTAGTAGACATTTGTGTGAAATTGATATAATTAGCATATGCATTCTAGAGTTATGGATAAAAACACTCCCCTTTCTTTGTAGCAATCAGTCAGAGTTGTAAAGTGATGATGTATTCTTATTTAAATGAAGTGCAGAAAGGGGAGTGGTCAGCAATCCAGGTGATAGAGAGCCGAGAACGACCTTCAAGAACACACCCGTGATAATAGAAATCTCACTGTTTAGTTATTCACATTCAGAGAGCAGCTGTGAGGGGAAGCACTGAGTGATCATCTAATCCCCAACCTTACTAAAGAGAACAGTTTAATTCAACTCAGAGGTTGATGTGACTTCACAAGAGAGAGGAGATTGGTTAACCACCACCAATATGATGTGGTGTGACTGATGCTGTAAATATTTAACTCAATGTGTGGATGGATGAGGCTCTGCTCAGAAACCTAAAGCAAGAGGCTTTTAGCAGCATGAACTAAATAATGACCTGGTCCACCGATAATGAACTAAACACAGAGGACACACAGTCTTACCGGTTCCCACGTGGGCCCTGAAGCGCTCCTGTAACCTCGTCACTAAGGCCGATAAGAGGTCCAAGCCGAGCAGAGCCACCTGGTGGACACACAATAAAACACAGACATACATTTGAATGCATTTTGTTTTTTAAACCTTTCATCAAAATAAAACATCCATTTTCTCAAATTCTATATTCACACATTAATGGAATAATCATTGCTACAACCATGGACGAGCCCAGGTTGAAAGCTGTATTCAAAATGACATGTTGCAAAGGACTCTGGGTAAACAGAACATTTGTATGTTTTAAGCTTCTGCTGTGTTCATAGATGACTCTGGCCTCCTGCAACTTTCACAGCGCCGGATTAGAACACATGTGAGACTCCTGTGGCACATAAAACACAGTTTCACTCCTGCACCATGACTGTACACGCTATGACCAAACCTTCATATAAAAACACAGAACCCTCTACTAGCACCTTTCCTTGTCATGGGGTGAGTGAACTGCTCAATGAACGGCTAGTGAGAGCAGCCCTGCTAACACCATAGCGACACATAGGCATCACCTGGACTGCAGTCCAGATCATGGTGCAATTTTTGAAACCTCTAAATGTGTGAAATACAAATTCAAGTGAATGATCAGTGGTGTAACTCCATCACTCTGCTGCCTCCTAGTGGATGTGGACTGGAACAACAAGGGCACTAAAGCACAATGAAGTACATCAATGGCTGCATGAGATCAAATTGTTTCTTATTCTACTTCACATGACATAAAAAGCATATTTCCATGTGATCTAAATGTGCATATACACATTTAGATCACATTGTCTTGCTTTTCCAAACATCCTTTCTCCCACTGGTGGAGCAGGTAGTGAGCAGAGGGCCTGCTGTCCACAGGCCTAATCCTCAGATCAGTCCCTTTGTTCTCCAACTGGAGGGAATTACAGTAATTAGACTGATGACAGGGCCCCAACAAAGACTCAACGACAGCTCCCAGAGGGATCGGCGGGGTTAAACATCTCCACCGAAACTCCACTGCTCAGTTTATATCTGGGTTAGGTCTTAGCGAGACAACTGGAGGTAAACACTCTTTTTCCTTTTCTGGACTGGGGGAAGTCGAGTAACAAAGGGACCATGGCAACAACTGCACCCTGTGTTCGAGTGCCAGTTCAGCAGACAGATGGCTGACTCCCTTCTGCTGTCATCCACATCCGGACCCCCCAAAATACAAACACACACGCACACACACAGGACCCACACCCCCCCTAAGGCTCTTGACCCAAATCTCACAGACGTCACCTCTTCCCAAATCCTCCTCTTATCTATAGTAGACTCTGCATCAGCATATACTGAATATGAAATCAAAACTCCTGACCTGGATATCCTTCACCCTATGAGATAAATACTGATGTGCACTGAGTTACCTAGACATCTGTGGCCTAGTTTGTAGAGAAGCTGGCTGTAAAAGGAAAATAAGACCGGTGGGTGGTTGAGTAGAAAGATACACAGATCTTTTCAGGGATCCTCCAGGTTTCTTCTCTGACAGCAGTCTCTCTTAATGCCTCTTTGGTTCTCTCAGACAGAAACCTACCAACCCGCAGCCTTTGAATAACACCACCATTTCAAAACACGTGAGGCTTTGACACCAGCTTCTTCTCTGCATTTCCATTGTTCGCCACACTTCAGGACATTTTGGAGAAAATATCATCGGAAAGGAAAAAGAGTGGGACAAGAAGCTGTGAGAAGAGAACCAGTGGAGAAAACTCTCTCTTTCATTGATTATCTTTCACATTTAATATGTGATAATAGTTTAGAAGAGAGAGGAAAGGAGACAGGAAAGTGAACTGATGGATGGACTTGTGGTTGCCATGGACCTGATGAGCAACAGCAAGCTTCTCTTACACCATCGACGGATAACAAAACCCACGCGTAGCTTAGCATTGTAGCCGCAGTCAGGCTCCTGATGGCAAAGAGAACGTCAAAGCGGGGGGGCTAAATCACACTCAGCGAAGGGCCAGGTGAGCAGGATGTGAACTTTGGTTCCTCTTTCCATTCTTCACAAAACCATTCCTCACTTTTCAGGTACAACCGAGCACAACACTGTGAATGCCATCATAATATCAGGAGGCACTCTGGCTGATGAGGACTTGGTTTAAAACACATATCAGTCATCCAGCATCCAGAGATCAGCAATGAACCCTAAAACTCACAAAGAAGCCTGATTGACTGACTGAGGAGCTACACCAACAGTCCACCTCACGAAGAATAAGCTGGTGCTGAATGGTAGAAGTCTTGGTAGAAGCTACAAAAAGCACAACTGTTCCATCCTGGAAATTTGACCGTGTTCAGACAAATTCATAGAAAGGAGGCGCATTGCCTCTGGCCGTTGACTCCATCTGTAGCTGTTGGGTATGCATGCACTGAGCACTTCATTTACATATCCAGCTCTGATTGGCCAGTCCTTCTGTATGTAACTGTGATGTGCAAGAGTCCGTTTCATCTTAGTTGAACGCCTTTTCTCATTTTGCCTGTCACCACTTTACATCTGCACACCTCCTCGTGGGCAGCCATTGACAAAGACACCCTGCTGCTTCTTCAGTCCCTGTAGCTGCATGTCTGAACACACCGCCGGTCACAAATAAGATAAGGCTAAAGTAAGTACGAAGCTAACGTGGTTGAAGACCAATCATTACTATTTGTAGAATTAGATTCTAGGATTGTTTGTGACTCGTGAGATCCAAACATTTCTAATAACTCCAGAGCGTTGTAAAGTCGATAAGTCAACTGTATAGAAAAAAGATAGATGTAATGACTTCCACAATTCATACTGTATTTATTGAACTAAATATTCTACTTCAATCTGTATTTGTTGGCATTTAGCCTTTCAAAAGCAACATTTTCATCATGGTCAGAAAACTGTGTTCTCCCCCTTGCCACACAAAAATGGAAGACGTACCAGTGTTGATCGGTGCATAAATGAATTAACTTTATACAACCACAACAACAAATCAATTAGACCTAAGTCATTACGATTTAGTTTATTGGGTGATATTCAAAGCTTCATTCTAAAACCTCAATAGAAGCTTGAAAATGTAAAAAAAGAGTCCTGATCTCAAGACCTCTGATCAAAGTAACCAGAGACATCAGTCCCAGGTCACTAAACACATGAAAACCAGCAGGCTGGCCTGCTCCTCCATCTGTCTCCATCTGCCTGTAAATTCAATCAAGGGTTTCTCCCTTCACTCACAAGCAAGCCTGTCATCTCATTACCACCCACCCACCCACACCCACACACACACACACACACACACACACACACACACACACACACACACACCATCTTTGCAGTGATTTCCTCTAAATCAAGAGAACAGCTGGGTATGCTGTCCTTTTCCACAGGGAGTGAATCTCTCTCTCTCTCACACACACACACACACACACAACCATTTAAATTCCCAATACAAAAAGCCCCACGTTCCCAAATTAAGGTTGTGTTTAAAAGAATAAGATTTAACAGCACACGGAGTAATTCAAACTGTGTCAGACAAATTTGCTTCTACTAACATGAGTTTGCAACACAAGGCTGTAGTTTATTGCAGAGTGCTTTATGATTATGAAGCATACCGGGCCCTCCCTCCCTGCCTGCCTCTTCCTGCTGCTGCTACATAATACTAACTGGATTCCGATGTGTCAGACGCTTCCATACAGCTCGGGCTCCGTCTGGATCGGATCTATTTTCAAGTTCACCTGAAATTACACTGCAGCTGTAACTCACAAGCCTGCAGGGTTTCTTTCAGTATTGCAGAAAGAGGATCAAATCCTTCAGCATCTTAACTGACAGATGCTGATATATGCAGGTATGTTTTCATGCTATCTAAAGTGCTTGTGCTAATCACCATTGGCCTTCAAACTGACAGAGTGTACTTTCCCTGGATGTGTGTTGGTCTCTTGTTCACTGAGCCACAGCAGCACCAGACAAGTGTCTGTCTGCAGATGAGCTAGAGAGCTGATATGTGCTGCAGATTACAGGTGACAACAGTGACTGTTACTGCTTTATGCAAATACTGTTTAATGTTAGAGACCAGGGGAACACACCAGTGACGCCAAATTGTATCAGGGGAGTAAAGTGTGTGTGTGTGTGTGTGTGTGTATGTGTGTGTGTGTGTTTGTTCCACCTCCCTTGCTTGAATCACACCCATCTTTAACCTCTGCCTTCCTTTTGAACTCAACCATGTAAAGTCTTGAGACTGGCACGGTTGTGAAACTATCGCGGTAACAAAATCCGTCCACAGACAGAAACACAACCACCTCCTCTGTGGTAGACCTGCTACGGTGGGTGTCTCCAGCACCACAATCTGCCACGATGGCTCACACAGAGACTCACCAGGTGAAAACAATACGCGGTTGCTCGGGCATGCTGACTGGTTATGGCACCAACGAGTGTGACAGCTGACAATGCACATCGCTGCAAGAGTCTTGGCACGCTTAGATACAAGCCGACCTACTGTGGATGCCCGGTGACTTCATCACTTCCTGGGGGAGGTGGGATGGGTCATTGTGATGCCATGCCAGCATTCGGAGGCCCCAGCAGTCAGCCAGCAGTGACCACACAGTGAATCAGCAGAGCTCACAACCGCAGGCACGGGGCAACTAGACCAAGGAATGTGCAGTAAACACTCATTATGGAACATGCCTGAGAGCGCTAACACACAGCATTCACACACACACACGGACACGGACAGATACAGAGATATAGCACACAAGGAAAACAGAGTTGTACACACACACACAGTCTTTTCCGGTTTACTTCCTCCAGAGGCAACACTTCACGCTCGACTTCCTGCAGTGAAAACACTGAAACAGTAGCATCCTCCTCCAGACATGGTGCTACTGATACTAATATCTGTGTGTGTGTGTGTGTGTGTGTGTGTGTGTGTGTGTGTGTGTGTGAGTCCTCCTTTAATTCGTCGTCCATAAACATCCACCATCTTATAAACATAGACAACATATCATCTGCCAATGGGGTGTGGACAATTGGTTGTGGCTATTGGACAGAATTTGGGAATGAAAGCGTCCGTAGTAATGTGGATGTTACAGACATATTTATGTCTTATTGGGCTTTACTCGTGCAAAAGAGACACCAAGTAATACCCACAGGCCTACTCACACACAGCCCAAACCCAGACTCCATGCACCAGTATCGACCCACCACAGTCTCTTTTGAGGCCTGGACACAACACAGCTGCCGCTCAGACTGCATAATGATTTGAAGAGCACATTTGTGATCACACAGTTTGGACACTGAAACCAAGCGCAATCACAGCCCTATCATCAGCTCTGTGTCATAACAGTGGTAAACAAACAGATGAGACATGCAGAACGGACAAGTGGAGGAGACGACAGGAGAGAAGCTAGAGGATGTAAACTAGGAGGACTACAGTAATCTGCTAGCTGTCAGCAAAACATGACAATTTACACTGAAGTTATGATTGTCATTGCATTTTGAATGATGAAATAAAACAAACCTGCTCAACTTCTGGAATAGCAGAGGAGTGTGTAAGTACACCACCTTTGTACCCATGTTATTATTACTTCTATTGTGTAC